CCTGCAAATTTCAAACCCAGAGCCTCCCCCAGTCCAGGCACAGCCAAGCATGCGTAGCAAATGGTAACCTGGTGTTATAACTACTCTTCCCCTTTAAAAGGCACAGATTCTCTGCCTTAAATGTCAAGCCTGGAGAAAATGTTTAAGAGTAGAGTTGGTGACCTGGCAGGAAACAGCAGAAGCACAGTCAAAACCAGCAAAAGCTTTATTTTTTTTTTTATATATATATCCCCAACAAATTACATGGATTAAATACCAGTAACACATCTTGGACTTGGTAGAACTGAGGTAGTTATTTTGACTTTTAACACCAGGACATAAATTCAGTGGAAGCGATAGTGACCTACATCAGTATGGAATATCCATGACATGGCTGTAGATAGAATAAGGTTAAAAACGAGGGACTTGAATTCATCTCCTCAGCTTGAGCAAATATCACAAGATGTAACAGAGTATTTAAATTTTTAGATGCTGTAAGAGATTACTTTCTTGAAGTAGAGCTTTAAGAGCAGTGTTCTCAGCGTAGCCTTGAATGATGCAGGCGGCCTGCTCTGAGGCCCAACTGTCACAGTCCGTAAGGTAGGCAAACGCCAGATCTTTGAGCAAGAAAGCCAAAATAATGTGCAACCTCAAAGCTAGAAGATAACAGTTTAATTTCTTTTTAAAATAAAGTCTTGACAGGCAGCACAATATTCTTAAATGACTGAAAATTTCAGACTCGACAGGTGCCAGAGTCAGCGAGATCAATAAAAGCTAGCAGTTAGATGAGACCAAGTTAGGCTGTTAGTAGAAAATACATCTTTCAAGAAGCCATGCCTAAGTAAGAGGAAAAAGGTAGATAATCAAAATTTAAATATTAAAAAAAATTCAGAAAGGAGCAAAAAGTACCAGTGAGGAACAACTCTAAAAGCAGGTCTCTTTCTCAAGTACATCAACCAGAGTTGCCAGTCTGCCAGGGAGATGAAGCCCTAGCAGCAACGAGCTGAAGGGCTCGGAATGCAGCTGGTGAAAGAGGTTCTCACATCAGAGATACTCTTAACTCTTGTGAAGTACAGCCTCAAATGTGCATGTACGTGTGTGCCTGTGCATGTATGGTAACCAGAGACTTAGCACCTAACGAGAATTTTTAAAAAGTTAAAATTCCTCAGCTATTAACTGTGATATATAAGCAAATTTATCTCTAGCAAAAGCTTGCCAATCTGACAGGTTTCTATAAGGGATTGAGGAAGACTGGGGAGATCCATGGAACTACTAACAGCAGATTTGACTTCTGTATCAATATGCACCATAAGAAAGGATAGGAACAGTAGAGATGCTTCTATCAAGGCAGAGGCAGCGCCTTTTGTGGAAACAAGTCTTAGATGCGAGGGAACACTTTGAAGGAGCAAATAGAACAAGGACGGTGACTGACCAGGCAACGTACTTGGATTTGCAAAACACTTGGCACAGCTCTAGCAAAGGCTCAGGGCTAGAACCTACGTTGCTTAGCTTTTATAAAATGGACATCTTCAGAAAAGTGGATTAATACTGGCTTCAAAGAGTCACAGAGCACATCATGGTATTTTGTTGTAAAAAACTCTGTGCTACCTAGAAAAAAGTACACCTAAAGGAAAACTGAACTCAAAAGCAGTTCTCGTAAGTTTTAGGAAGTTGCCAAATATAAGAGAACATGCCAAAATGCAAACACAACAGTTAGCATCATTAGGAAACTGGGAATCTTACATTAGTAACCTCACATTGGTGTAACAGAATAGGGAGCACGCCATGATCTGGACAACCTAATTTTCAGAAGACACCCTCCCCCATTTCTCATATTGCACCCAACCACACTATGGTGGGTAAGCTTTTGGGGACAGAAGGCACAAGCGGAATTCAGCGCAGGCAGCCGCCGCCGGTTCAGCTGGAGCTCCTGCTCCCCTCCACCTCAGGAGGCGCCCAGACTGAGGGCTGCCGGGGGAGTGCAGGAGGTACAGCGCTTCACTGACCCTACGCTGCCTGCGCGGGCTACCACCGGTAACGCCTGTGTCGTCGATGTGACCCTGTGGCAGCAACCTTCTGTGGGCATTTCACTTGCACAATATGCTCCAACTCCAAATTTCCTATCTTTTAATTTTCAGTCTCGAGTTTTCAAACAAATACAAGAAGCTCAGTAGATCCAGTTAGAAGACATGAGTAGGATGTTAAAGAAAAACTCAGAGTCCAATATATTAAGCATACTTATTTACTTAATCTATACAGAATCGAGTAGATAAAATTTCAGATTCACATTAGTGAAAAATCTCTACAAAATGTTTTTGAAAAGCAAAACAAAGACTGCCTGTTCATTTAGCATTTTTCCTCATGAAAGCAGACATGGGTTGTAAAAATAAAGCAGTGTGTTTAGCACAAACTAGATTTCTGCATCACTTTTTTCACAGTTATTTCCATCTACAGTCCAAAGAGGTAGATTTTCTGCAACACCTGAGAATTGAACTGTAATGTAACCAGGTGTAATGAAAGGAAGGACAAAACATTAGAGATACAGCCCTAACTTATTTGTGTACATATACACATATTTGGGTCTTGCATCACATATTTAGCTTTTTGCAGCTTAATCATGGTGAAACTGTCAATCAGGCCCCAGAGTTTTGACAATTAGACAAACTTATTTCAGGCTACATCAGTTCACAGCCTGGGTTAAACAGTTTATGGTAGCGGGAGAAAGGCGTTAATACAAGTTTACTAAAAAACCCTACTGGAGCCGATTTGGCTGAGACTGGCAGTGCAATAGCCTGCTGTACGGCAGATCAGTTACGAGTGCTGAGCTTATCCCTTATATAAATTTGTGGGGGTTTTGCTTGCTTGGGTTTTTTTTAATAAACAACACTCTAAGCAATGCATGAAACTGTACTGACTGGTTTCAGGAAGCAAAGTACAGCTCACCTTGGCCAGAGAAGTTATGACATGAGTCTGTTAAGGGTAGGGAAGAGAAAAGGTATCCCCATTTTAAAAGCCTTTCACTTGGGGCATTCTGCTTCATTTACATATTGTCGGTAACAAATATATTTGTATTGCTGTTCTATACATCTGTCATGTCTCTAAAAGCCCTTTAAAATATTCTTGCAGCAGGGTCCAAAGTTTCACTCTTGCCTCCATATAGAACAAGCGCTATAGAAAGAATTGTTAAAGATACAAATGTCCAAATAATAAATTGTAAAAATAGAAAACTGCATGTCCTACCTTGCCAAGGGTACGATGCATCAGATACAAAGTTTTTCACTTTTCCTCAGGAAAATTACTTCATGCTTAGTGTTAGCTGAAAACCAGTTCTCACGACAACTATTTTTAAACAGTTCGATTCTATAAAGCAAGTCATTTGAGAAGCACGTCTGGAATACTTCTTTCCAGTATTTTTTTATGCTGTTAAGTTAGCATGATTAACATTTCAAAGCTCTAAGTCTAACCTGACTGACAGCTCATTGCTACCTTCTTTTCATTCCTGCATTGTGCTCGGACCACAAACACAAAAGCCGCACAAATCTAGGAGGAAGACAGCCAGCTTCCCATGTGCTCCACCAATTAAGAAATGTCAGTTTTGCACAGTTCCTCTCAGTGGTATGAGCTAAAACACATTGATCAGGCTTTACGTAACCTTACTCTCTTTCAGAGACAGCTACATTATTTCAATGTACATTACTACAGGAAAAGGATCAGGAGCTCAGTGCAGCCTGAACATTCAAGTAATTTAGCCACGAAACTGCCGCGGGCAATGAGGGTGGGAAGCTCATTGAGAGATGTGCTTGATTCAGAAATCCCCTCCCAAGTAAGTGCAAAGAACTTTAAGTACCAGAAAAGGCTACACACGTTTGTATTTCTTAAAACGCCAGCAACCAAAACTAGAAAGTAAATACATGGGAACTAAAGGTAAGGGCAGCTTGTAGTTATTTCACACATTGTCTTGCCAAAAAATAAACATTGGTCCCTAGTTTCTCTCAGGAAAAGAAGTCAAAATGAGGATATCAAATTTTCTAGGAAAAGACTAAATATGGTTTAAGGTTAACAAGGGAGCTCTGCTTGTGGTATGTTAGTGTAAGAATCCGAAGTACCATCTTTACCAGATAACCCATCTGGGAAGGCACTCTGCCAACTGGTACAGCTTCGAGGTTGAGCGTGCAAGAAATTCCATGTGGTACTTCAGGAAAAGTATTTGAATCTACACGTTCAATTGTAACCAGCGTACACTTAACACACACTTAAATACATTGCATACAGGGCTATCGGACAAAGCCTGTATGCCACAGACTCACATCTTCCACACCTATGGCAGTAAATGTCTTTTTCCAGCCCTTCGGATAATCTGGAGATTTGTCTAGACAGAAATGGATTTCTCTAGTCAGGATAACCATCTGATGGGCACCCTGCATCCAAGAGGGAAGAACACGACCAACACCTGTGCAATAGGCTACACAACTGCAAAATTCCACTTGGAAATGTTGCTGTACATTTTCTCACACATTTATATTTAACATGTTCACAGGCAGGGCAAATAGTCCAAACTAACCTTTACAACACAACCCTGAGAAGTCTGCAAAAAGTTGTACACCCTGTTTCACCAGCTGCAAATTAATGTATTTCAAAGCTGTTTTTTTCATACCACAAAGTACATAAAACCCTTTAAACAAATCTTTTACTATATTCTGGACCTTTACTTTTTCATTCATATATATGAAAACATACTAGAGGGGAAAGCTGATGGTTTTTACTGGCCATTAGACATCCTTAGTTAGATAAATTTACTGGAAATATTGGTAATCTTTAGTATACTACAGTGGCAAATCAATGAACAAAACCAGAATGCTGTTTTTTAAACCAAAAAAGTGACCTGCTGTCACTATTTTCCCCGGAACGATGTTATATCTGTACACGGTCTTCCATGACAGTGATTTGTGTTGTGGGGAGGAAACGCACATGCATCCTTCTATGGAAAAATATTTTCTTTTAAAAAATGAGGCAGATGTGCAACACAGTTGTGGAAAATTTATAGTTTAAGCTATTTAAAGCTGCTATGCAGCTTCCTGTACCACATAGTCCAGTAGTTCTAAGAAAATACAGATATGGTAGAAAAAGTAAGAAAATTTTCACCACAAAACCAAATAGTTACCACCAACAGAGAAAGTTATACACAAAATATATCTCTCAATACAGTGTTTACACTTCATTTTAGTCTACAGATTCAGTGCCAGGAACAGGACTTGTTGAGACAGTCTTTTCGGAACTATTTGCCACATGTGATTCCGTATCAGGTTGGATTCCTGGTTCCGTGTCAGTGGGAGTTCCCAGCTCCTCATGGGAATTGAGCGTGCAGGACTGCAACACCTGCACAGCTAGATCCACGTCTGCTTCTCTGAGAGAAACCTGCTCCTTAAGGACTTCCACCTTCTCATTCAGCTCGTTCCTTTCTGTCTGAAGGGCCCTGCATAGCTTCTCCAAACGCTCCAGTTTTATTTGAAAGCCCTTGTATTCTTTATCTCTTACTGTTTTCTGAAGGACAAAAGAAAATAAAAGCTCTGTGATCGAACTGATTTTTTTTTCCCTTGAATTAATGAAAAGAATCACTACTATTTAATCCTGAATATTGTCTTGATTAATCCAACAGGTCAAATTCCAGCTGCACAAGGGCAAATTTCCTCAGCACACTCGACCACTACACTTCAGATGGTTTGTCTAAGCTGCAGTGACAACAGACACCTTCAGAAACAAGCAACGAGAACTATTTAACTACATAATGCTAATTCCAAGTGAGGGCTGAGTATCAGTGAGGATCCTGATATGAAGTCCCATAAATCAGTCAATTACAACCCAAACAATGGCAACTACATGGAGCAGAAGGGCATACAAGTGGGAAATCCACAATCCAGCAGCAGAACCTGGGTCAGAAGGTACCCTACTCATGGCTCTCTAACTAGGTCCTCAGAAGACCAGAGAAAGATGAGCAGTGCTATACCAGAACCCACGTGACCTAGCATGGTTTAGCAAGATCCTACTCAATATACTTGAACTAGACATTAGACAGGGTAGGCAGAACTGTGTGCCCATGGCCTGTGTGAAAACTATTTTAGGTCCTCTCTCACTGCACTACAATTAATTAACAGCACCTTATGCCCTCAAAAGCAGCAGCAATGCAGGAAAGTAACTGATCCCTTACGTACGGGTTATTTCCTTCACACCAGTCTTGTATATTTAAAATAGATTTCTGTTGCAGCACCAATTGAACTTTGCTCAGCGTATTAAAATACAGTCAATTCATTCAGCTTGTACAATTTCATACATACTATCCCACCAATTAAACAGTAAGCAAGGAAAGACAAGGCTGAATTTTTTTTGTGTCCCGAGTTTAGATTTATATAGCAGCTTTTTATTTTCCATGTCTGGAGAGACCAGTACCATTTATACAACAAAAAACATAAAGGCAAACAACCCAAGAGGTGGCTACTATGTCTTATTTACCAATTCCCTAAAACTGAAAAAACTGTAGAAAGTTCTCTAGGATACACACTATAGTTTAGCCATGCTGTTGCTTAAAAGATAATTACCTCTTCAGCCATTTGCAGAAGAGCCTTGTTGTTGTTTTCCCATTTTGTACGCCACACTATGGTTTCCTTTTCCAGTTTCTTAATCTTCTTCGTCATCTACAAAAGATAAATAAAAGACTTAATTCTGTGGCATGCGTTGCAATGTAAATAGGTTTACATGAGTAATTCAACTTTAGTGTTACTTTCCAAGTCCAGTTTGAACAAGTTTTTACAGACAAGTCTTTCTACACAAAATTCAACCCCACAAATGCAGATTCTACATTCAAAGAAAATGATCTAAGATTAATTCCAAAGAAACATATCAAAGAAACAAATCAAAGATTAAGTCCTAGAAGAAATAGACTAGCAACCTTCAAGTACAACTAATAAAAAACTCCACGAAAATAAGTTTTACAACATAAGCGCAGCCAAAAAAACCTGGAGAAGTACTGCATGCCTTTGATAAAACACTGAAATTGGAATTTAGATATTATGCAAGTATGTAAAAAACTAGAAAAAAATTACATTTCTTTCCATAATATGTCAAAACTCTTATGCTCTATCTTATGATCCAAATTAAATGTCAAAATACTCCATATATTTTCAGAAGGCAAACACTGTTAAAAAATCTAAAATGCATCTGACTAAGAGCATGCATTTTTATATTACTTTTTATGAAACTCTAAGTAACCCTGTAAGTACCTTCTCCATTTCTTGCCTGAAGGTTGTAAAGAGTTCATTACTTTTTGCCATGGTGGTCTGGAATTCTTCAAACTTATCCATGTAAAGAGAAAGCTGTTGGAAGAGACAGGAACATTAATCTGAACAACTGTATACAAATACAAAAATATTAAGGTACAAGGGAAAATTAAACTCAAAACAGAAGAAGTCTTTTTTTGTGTTATCCTATGATTTCTGCTTGAGGAACATGCAGAACTTGTCTGAAATCATGCTATTCAGATTATATATAAAAGGAGAGTTTTATGTTTATAGAACAGTAATATATTCTAAAGAAAAAAGGGTCTGATATTTAATAAAATGTTGGAAGACATCACAGTTCATCACTATCTCATTTGTCTTTCCCCACTAAAAAAAAAAAAAAAAAATCTGTGGACTTTAATATACAGGAAATTCAGCACATGGTTAGTGAAATTAAACTTAGATGAGACATACTTTTCCACCTCAATCAGCCAAAGCTAACAACCCCAGCTGGGACAAAATAAACATAATTTATTCCAGAAATCAAAATACACATTCACAACCTATGAAATCTGCTCAGTGAGCAAAAATCACAGGAAGTGAATATTGACAAGGAATTAATTTTATAGTGAAAAACATTACATTTTAACAAGTGAAGAGCATTAAAATTTGATTACAGAAAATTTTCTTGCCCTGCACCACAAGGTAAATCATCAGGAAGGAACTGCAAAATATGTTAGTTAACATAGTTTTTCACAAAAAATTGTTATGCTCCTTATTAAAACAACTTACACTGTCAGTGTTGCGATTTGACGTTCTGAGAATACATGACCATTTACTACTAACTTCTTACTCCATCTGAAGATTAATCAGTTCTTTCAATTCTTATACTGGGGGTCACAGGACAATGCAATATTTCAGTGCTCTGAATTTTATTTTCCTCTAATAGTAGAGGAAATTTCGTAACAGAAATTAGCCTACCTTGTCAACAGTAGATCATAAGAGTCTGCCACTATTGTGACTGAACTTTCTAGCTCATCTTATTCTACAAAAAAATCCGTTGGCCCCAGAAAACCACAAACTATACCCATTGTTACTACTAAAAAGCATTTTTTATTTTTAAGTAAAGGCTACTCAACTTGGGAAAAAATCATACAAGACTAAGTGCAGCAAAAAACTATTTGGGAGAATCTGGATATTAATGAGTCCAAGTCATTGGACATCCCAAGAAGGAGGCTCTGTGTGTGTATGTGATTACATTTAATTACACATATACACACACACTTTGTATACAACGGTTGGAAAGCCTGGAAAAGAATTAGATACAGTAAGTGTAAAAAAAGGGCATGAAACAGACCTTGCAAGGAGACTTACTACGAAACCGCACAAAACTGAAGCAATAAGAGGTGTACAACAAAAAGAATAGCTACTGCTTCTCAGATGCTATGATGTTACCTGAACCTACCACGTCCCTTTGCCTTATGTGCTGAGCTCACATGGGGCCAGTAACCGCAGACGATCCAGAACCACAGCACAAAAACTGGAGACCATCTCTCCACTCTCAGAGTATTTTGCTGTAGCATTTACAGCAAAAAGACAATTTGAAGATAGTAATTCTTTTTGTGGACAGAGGCACTCCATTTTAGGTTACTAAATCTGAATAGCTGCAAGGATAAACATGTTGCTTGCCACCAACCCTCCACAACAGGATGGGATAGAAACAGTAAGGAACAAATTCTAAAACCTGCATGGGTGAAAATCCCCACCCAACTCTTACAGTCACAAGGGCCTCTCTGGTCCTGAACAGCTATAAAAAAAAAAGATAAAAATACCTTTGGAAGAGAGAACAGTTTCAGAGAAGCCAAGAAATGGTAAAGCAGCCACAATTAATAGATACTTAAGCTTTCATATATTCTAATCTTAGTATCCTTTTAAATTAACAGTGTTGATATTACAAACTCCAGCAAGTCAATATTTAGCACCTTCCAGTAACAGTACTCTCCACATGTACTTGCTGTTTAGTACAAAATGTCAAGTCTTTACAATTTATACTTCACACTTCACTACTGAAGAGTTACCTGCTGGAAATTAAATTTAAGACTTAATTAAAAAAATACCAAGTACTTTTCACAAGTAGTATATTGCATCTAATGAATCATAACATGTAGGTTTTTTTCATATGTTATGTTAATTATAATCACAAACCTCTTGGTATTTCTTTAATTTTTTTTTCAGAACAACTGTTATTGAAGAGTTATTCCACTTAAAAGAAAATAATACCTGCTGCTTCAGCTGAGCTTCCTGTTGCTTCATCTGTTCACATTTGTGCCTGGACTCAGTAGCTTCTTTTAGCAGCTAAAAAAAAAATAAATGCAAAAAGCCACATAATGAAGAAAGTACTCCCAAGAATGGCTTACAGAACTTGATCTACGATGAAAAATGAAGAAAGGTTAACATCCCCTCAGGGCCATTCAACCATGTTTTCTCACGTAGGTTTTTCATTACTATACTATACTTTCACATATACAATTTAAAGCATGTGCTGGCATGCAGAAATTATTTTTATTGAGACATTTGTCTAATTGGTAGCATGAGTCAATGTTTCTATTTCTGTAGCAAGTTTGAATGGCTAAATTTATACAAGTAGTTCATTAATTAACTGTATGCCATTTATAACTGGTTTGTAACCTAATTTACCACGTCCATTTCTCCAGTCACTAATATTACTTCTACAGACTCATTCAATTTTGCTTAAACTTGACACCAATTTGTAGATTCATCTTTGAAGACATTGTCATCAGCTTATGATTCCAAAATGATGTTTTAATAATATAGAACAATCTAATGCTAGATGATTATTTTAAGATTACAGATGTACCTCTAAAAGTTAGAGGTACATACGGAGCATTAAAAAAAAATCTTTACCTAAGTATTATTTTTAATTGGAAGCTAACTCCTTGGAAGACCACAAGGAAATTGCTGATTATCAACATACGAATAAAACAGACATACTTCTAGGGACAGATAGTTCAGAAGAATATATGCTTTATTCTGCATTTGTTATTTCTTATAGCATGAAACCAGAAGTTACAACTACAAGACAGCAAGAAAGTACCTTTGGTGTTTCAGCTCAAGACATTTTCCAGTCTAAGAAAAATCTAACTGATATCCATCACGTTTGCTGAGAAAATGCAAACAGTAACATTACTTGCCTGTGAATATGGACATTAATAGCATAGGCATCATACACATATATGCAAAAATGTCTTGATGTTGAAATCTATCCTAACTTTCAAAAGACAGTCCCCTCAGTTTGCTGTATTTGCTTTAAATCATGAAAAATCTGGTTTGGTGGGTTTTGTTACTTCTCTTAACATGCATAGAATTCACTTACAAACTCCCTTTCTCGCTGATGTTTTTCCTCTGCTTCTTTAATAAGTTGGGTAGTTTGCTGAAGTTTGGCATCCACAAGTTGCTGCTGCAGTTCTTTATGTTTGAACACTTTATCAATATGCTAAAGGAAGAAAGAAAAACATATTAGCCAAATATAAACAGTGCACTGGTCAATTAAGGTAAGTGTACATGTATGGGAAGATGCACAGTTTATAACTTTCATGCACAAGAAAAAGCAGCAAAAGACTGTTTTACAGACTTTTTGTTCCTCCCGTTATCACCATGCACTATAGCTACACATTTTTTGTCTTTCACAGAAGCCAGATGCGTATTTCAAATTGGTACAATACTGTCAGTCACTTCACACTAGGCATTTAAAAAAATCCTGTTAACAAGTAGTCTACAGCCTTTCCTCTAAAGTTGGTGTATCTACCTTTAATTCTAATTGTATTTTTTTTACATCTAAAAGCTCTAGTCCTCATAATTCAAAAAGCCCAAATTGAGCAAGGTTTGATGGCTGATGAAATTCTACAAATCATTGAATTTTGCAGTCTTACTTCCATCTGTAAAGTAGCACAAGGCAGCTTCCTACCTCTTCTTTTCCCCAAATTATCTCATTGCAGATACAAACGCCATGAACACAAAAGTGGGGAACTAGAGTCTACAGAGAGCTTTCTAACTGATCCAGATTTAAAAGAAAAGAACAGTTGAGAAATTATATTCCAAACCTCCTATGCCAACTAAGAACTAATCTTAGCTGTAGAACTCCTTGAAGCTTAGTTCTCTTTGACAAGAACTGGCTGTTTTCCATTACTGTAGCTTAGACTGGCTAGCTCATATACTAGTGTCAATTAAAACTAGCTCCATTACCCCTAAAATACAGTCATTTCCATGACACCAGTCCAAATATATTCTTAAAGCGTGATAGCTTATTTTGATTCTATGCCAATAAGAAGAGGTAGGAAGGAGCTTGCCAAAACCCTTCAACCATAACAAACCAAAGCAAGTTAGATAGAGAATAACTCTTACACGCCCTCCCATTTTAATGTGAAATTATAATTTAGCAGAACTTCAAATATTACTACATATTTATGTTGGAAATAACCTTTGGAAGCCATTTGGTCCACTAAAGTCTGGGTCAACTTCAAAGTCTGACGTGGCTGCTCACACCTTGCCCAGTTGAGTTCCAAATATCTCTAAAGACAGATTCCACAATCTCTGGACAACTTATCACTATTCAATAGCTTTTACCGTGAAACATTTTTCAACGTATCTTGAATTTAGATATGCAAAACCAGACAAGAAAGGCAGATAGTGGGCCAAACAGCTACTTAATTTTTTCATGGTGAAGTAAAAAGAATAGTTTAAAATATACATACGATGGCTTTAAAGTATTAAAGAGTTTTTTCTCCCCCTTAAATAATTAAGAGATCCTTAGAGTCAAGGAACTAACAGAATCCCATTAGAAGCATAATGTAAGCACCTCTTCTCGCAATGCATACTGCTCAATGAGTTTCTTCAGTTTTTCTCCCAGTTCAATATTTTCCTGACGGAGCTTGGCATTATGTATACCATGCTGTTCCAGTTGAGCCTGAATTTCATTCAGTGTAATCTGGAAGTGTGCAGTTGCTTCTTTACGTCTTTCTTCTTCTTCACGCGCTTGCTGCATGTTTTCTTCCTTTTATGAAAGAATATGAACATGTTCAAGCCAAACCATGCACCTTTTTCATATTTTTGAGTCAGAAACAACGGTAATAATTTACTTCAGGACAAATTCAAGTTCTAGAGTCCTAGAGTTAATATAAGCCACAATCATAATATGCTATGCTGACTATACATATGAAGTGCATGGAATGAAGAATCAAGAAATTCCAAAACTTTTAGAGAATCTTGTCCTTACTGCTATCAACATTACTCAGAGGCTGCTGTTATAAGGTGCTACACGAATACCTTTGCAAGTGTAAAAATTAGCCAGATGTTAAAGCCAGCATTCATACTACAAGGAAATTTCCTACAGTGATCACAGATGAGAATCTCTTTGCCCTCTTCCATTTCACTCCCATTCATTATATTCTGACAGAATTAAGCCTTTTTTGATACCCTGCCATTTCATGCTGTTGTTAGTTCACTTGTGCTATTTTTTCCAGCAGTCATTAGCACTGCTCCCAGAAACAAATATGGCAAGATCACATCCTGCAAGTACTGTGATCTATGAACCAGTTTGAGAGGGGGAAAAAAATTAGCAAGTGGAACTATCCCCACATTCTTTACCTTAAAATCAGGTACACTTATGTCATTCATCTTCTGCAGGTACAGGTAATAGGCAAATTGGTAAGTAAAAAGCAGCAGTGCTGATTTTAAATGGTAATTAATATGTAAGGTTTCCACCACCACTGGCACTGTAATTTATGTAAATAAACTAACCTTCAAAGTCTTGTTATGACGCTGAAGCTCCCGACAGAGAGATTCCAGTTTGCTACGTGCCAAAATGGCCTTGCTGTGCTCACTCTGCAAGTGGACTTTCTCCTTCACGACCTGTGCTTGCTTCTTCTGCAGTATCTTCATCTGCTTTTGGACATTCCGGCTCTCCTCCAACTAACATTAGAGAGTATATTTATTAAACTTAGGTGAAACTATCTTTATGCATCTAGATGAGAGACCGAACAGACTTTTAAACATTTCAGATGAAAGCAAGGAAGTAAAATAATTTCATTAAGACCCCCAAGTTGATCTTAAAGAGAAACTCCCATTATTCTACAGACAATTCTAAATGCGTAGGGATAGAAGACAAAAATACAGAAATTCCAACTTGACAAACATTTGCCTTTGAGGAACAGGGACCATGGACCTGTTGACCATGGGCTATCAGCTTGCATTCGGCTACAGGGGCAGGACTAGCCCTGAGAAAGGAGGATGTGGCAGATACAATTACAAGCCAACTGCGACTGGCTTTTCAACAAGTCACAACTTTTTCCGCTCTCTTATCTGTAAGGTACACACAGCTATTTATCCAACAGGTCTTATTTTTACTATCAAAAAGAAAAATCCACTGAACTGTGTACAGAGTTCTTTCTTGTCAGCAGGACCTCCTACCAAAGGAGGCAATAATTGATACAAGCTTGTAAAATGCTAAGGTGTTTCAGAAAGGAACAGATACAACCAGCAATCCTGACGAATCAAGTAAAATACTATAAAAGCTGCACAGCCCAGGCTTTGATGACTTAGGAGATCTGTAGTCCCAACCATTTGTAACAAAATTTTTATTTTATTTCCTTTAGGCTGTTTAGATGGCAGGTGACAGCATTAAACTTTGTATACAGTGCTGACTTCAAAATCTATTCTATGAATAACCAGTGAATGGACATTTCTTGCATTATCTAGTTGAGAGTAAGTTCCATTACACATAATTTTTGGGCTCCCCGAGAAACCATATTTTTTTTAGAGTCTGCTCTATTGTAAAGAAGGTAACAGTGCTAAGTGTAACACTGCTCCTTCTTAGACAGTGCCTCAGCCTCAGGACACCACAGGAAAAGAAGGCTGGCAACGAGGAAAATGACCATGACAGAGAAGAATGCAATGCTGGTTTTCTGAAAGAGCTCAAAATAATGCTGAAGCACAGAAGGAAGAATAAATACAGTTAAGGACCTCCACGACAACAGTATATTAAATGTGTATTTAATCCAGTTTAGAGAAAAGGAATGTTAAGGAAATGTTTTCATATCCAAACGTAAAAAAACCCTTTTCTTGGGTGGCCAGAAAAAACACTTCAAGTGGCTGTGCTGTTCACATACCTATGAAACTTCAGGTCTGTAAAAGTATGCCAGTGTGAGACATCACCAAGGATGCAAACCTTCCTGCATCACAAACTGATCTCCTGATAGATTCCAAATTAGGAAAAAAAAAATTGTGGAAGATCTTTTGCCAGGAGAGAGGCATTCCTACCTTTATTGTACAGTCCTTTTCATGAGACACCACTGAAAAACCTGACAGTGAGCTTTAAAGATGATGAATCTTTAAAAAAAGAAAAAAAGCATTGTAGGTGCACTGTCATAAACAGTTCAAACCTCTGCTGGCATTAAAGCTGACACCTATGCCAGTGGTTCACCACTGCTATCATGAAGAAAAGAACGCATCTTAAAAGGAACACAACCAGATCCAACCTAAACTTTTTAAGAGGAACACCGTACCTCTAGGACTCATTCAGCTAAAATGGAGCTACTGTTACAGACAAGCTCCCACCCAACTTCCCAGCAGTTCTGAGTATCATGGGAAAAGCAACTGGTTTTCTAGGATGGTGACTATCTATGGACTGTGAATGCTTACTTTACCTATAGACTACAGATCCTCTCCTGGTAGGAGGAAAAAACATAACACGAACATGTCTCTCCTGACTGCCTAACTTCTTGAAGGAAATTACAACTAATTTGCTCTAGCTGTTCCCTAATTGTTTGGAGACCCTTCCTTCAATGAGAAAACTCAAAGCGAAGATGATGCAGACTGTTTTCCTTCCGCAGAAGCGACGAATTCATGCCAACCTAGCTCCTAATGCAGGTCATCATCACCACCACTGTGATTTGACATGGGAGCTGTTTGCTCAGCTAGAAAAGCATCACATGCACAAGCAATTGCTCATAAGAACTAACACATTTGCTGCATTTTTCTCTCAATATCAAAGCTCATTTTTAGGTGCGCTCCCCACCCTGGAGTTGCACTATGGAAGTATTATTGTTTCTCATTTAAATGAAAGTGACTTCTTAGAGAAACTGTCGGTTTGAAGGAAATTCACTCATGTGAACAAGAGCGTGCATGTGAAAGAGAGCAAGGAAAACAAAGCAAAAACATAACAGACCTGCACAGAGAACTCAGGATTTGCTGAACAGAACTAATCTGTCTATTCTTAAGCAATTAGTAGTGCGTCTGTGAGTAAAAAGACTACCTTCTAGCTCACCCTCAAAACTCTGGACACATTATTAATCTCAATGGAAAAATAAATTTATTTCAGAAGAGTTATGCCATGTGCAGCCATTATGTCATTTTCAGAAACATTGTCATATGACACATTTTCATAATATACCTGACATCTACAGAAGGCAAATCTTATGCTTGTTTCAAGCTATTAAGTTACTTTAGTTTTGCATTCATTTTATATCTACAAATATGGTGAGAAAATATATACACACAGTATTTCCAATCTTTCCATTCTTGTTTGTCCTGTCTCCAAATGAATAAGTGAAGCATTTTTGTCTCCAGGCACATTCTGAAAAGTCAACTTATGAGCCTTTCCCCCCCTCCAAATTTTGCCATCAATTAATTTAGAAAATAATTTATCATTTCTGCTACTTGGGGTGGGAATCCACTTTATCATCCATTACTGTTAACATTTCGCCTTTTTGGTTTGTTACTGAAGAAATGTATACTCTTCTGTCCATTGCTTTGCATGATCAGAAAGCATGAAGCAAAATTAAACCTACATCTTTCCAACTTCCCCTACCTCCCCAAAAATCACTAGACTTACGTATAAACTGAACTTCTTTTTTTTTTTCAAATCCCGTTATCACAGTATGTTCTTTCCCTTTATCCTAAAGGGGATAAATTATAAAATGCTAGCAGAAAAGCATTATCAACAAAACCTAAGAAAATAATTAGTACCAAAACAAACTCTTAGCTTTTCTGTTAATCCTAATGTTATGCTTCAGCACTGAGTTATCAAAAAGTTATCATAACCTCTTTTTTCTTTGGATTTAGGCAGTCATGTAGAAGTGAAATGACTACATGCAAGTTTGGCTGAAGCAATACTCATAATAAGCCCGAGTGTTCTTTTTTTTACCTACCAACACTGTGAAACATTCAAAATTGTTAACTGTCCTGTATTAGAAGTTCCTGCATTCCACAGTTAATATTAACACATGAATAACTCCTGCTATCTTTACAAATTACTTACCAGATCAGCGTACTTCTTGCACAAAGCTGCCAGCTTTTCCTCTGGAGTAGAAAGTGTATTCAAGGCTTGCATTAACAATAGCACTTCTTTTCCTATGAATTGGATGAAAGACAACCATATTGAGAAAAAACATACCAGAAAAGCAGTCTGTCTTTAGAAGTAAAATACAGAACCATGAGAAATTAGTGTGTGTTAAGTTGTTCCCTGGTTTGATAGCTACATAATCTGAACAGATGACAAATAAGAAGTCATCACAGTAAGAATAAATTTGTCTTGCCTAGGTGCCATTACACAACTTGGATGGCAAAAGTTACTTTAATCTTAAAACCACAAAAGTATTTTTGTTTTGTAATTTATAATAGAACAGATAAAAAGAAAAATCTGAAAAAGTGAAATCTAAAAGGTTAAGGTTTGCTAATAAAGGATATTCACACAAGTGTTTTTAATAACCTTTTGGAATTTAAATATGAGCAGCGCTTTGGTAGCATTGAACACTGCAATCCCAAATTTAAAAGTTAATCCAACAACTGGAAAGTTAAAAAAGCTGATCAGTGATTACCACATTATTATTATTAAAGTTCCTGTAAAAATAGCATTACCAGCAGAAGGATTCTTATGTATGCATTAAGAACTGTCTTCTCCTAAGCTGAAGTACCCATTTTCTCAGAATATCCTGTTAAAGATGACAAGTTTTGGCTACAAAGTAAACTTGAGACAAAGAAAATGCATAGCTATTTTACAAAAATATTAAAGCCATTTAAAAATCAAAATGCCAAAGAGAACATACCCAAAGTTTTCTCTTTGTGTTTTTCACTCTCTGGATCTTGTTGACCATCAGGTGGATCAGTACGGGCTTCTTCTCTCCCAGGAGTCTCCTCACGAGACTCCCGAGAGCAGCATGTGGACCCCGGGTTCTTCGTGATATACTCAGCTTCTTCCAACGTGCCCGTGTTTTCCAGGCCATAGCAGTTGGGCTGCGCAGGCTGCAACGCTGTATCAGACAATTCGTTGCACTTGCTGTTCACCAGCTGGTCCTGGTTATTCATTCCCATCTCCCGAGATCCAGCGTCTTCCATTGCACCACCAACCAACTTCAGAAGGGAAAGAAAGAAGTGGAAGTAAACAGTCAAGCAACTGTATTTAAAATTAAAATTTCCACCTTTCTTTTGCATGGACAAATAAAATTCCACTGTTATTCAAGTTGATACTCACTGTTGCTAATACAGGTATATAAATAGCTGTACGCAGAATGAGCCTGAAGAGTGATGAAGAAAACAGCACACAACAGCCCAAAATATTACTCTATTATGCAACAACTTCAATATCTGGGCATTGCAAAAATGTTTATACCGTAGCAATTAAAAGTTGACATGGAAATCTGTTCTTAAGGCTCCAAAACTAATTGGCTATCATCTCAACTATTAAAGCACAATCTTAAATGAAAACATCTCTCCCTCATAGTTCTTAAAAACTTCTCACAAATCAACACGAAGTATACTAAACCAAAAACTCAGCAAGAGTTTAACTAGCTTTGTTAAACTATACAAATAACTATTGTTATTTGAAAAATAAGATACAAAAATTGAGACAGAAGGACACAATTATTAAAATCAACTTTATTACATATTAGTTTCAGAAAACTGGAAGATACCAGTTTTAAAATAATTCAAGAGACATACTACAAGAAAGACGGGGGAAAAATTAACTTGCTAGGAAGTTAAGAAATCCACAGAAATACATTGTTTCAATAACATACATAGGGTAAAAGTTTAAACTACTTCAATCAGAATGCCAAATATGATTACCAGCTCATGATTGGAGAAAATCTGTTGTTATAAAAAGAATGATAGACAGGACCAGGAACACATCAATTTTTTAAATTTTAAAATTCACATCTATGAAATCATCAAAAAAGTGAATATTAACTGGCTTCAGATTTGGAGTCCTACTACCTATGATTGTTAACACTACATTATTTCTGCTCAACTACACAGAACTTTCTCAAAAGATTTCTTAAACCTCGAAATGTTTACTCATTTAACCAAAAAGTTAAACATCACCAGTTGTTTTAACACTGCAGTGATATGTCCGTATTTTGGAGCGGAAAACCTGATGATACCACCCTATAGCTTATTAAGCTGCTACCAGACTCCTCTCAATCACCAGAACAACATTCTCAATTTCTAGACTCATTTAAGGCTGATGGGAACTTCAAGGGTGTTTGGTTGGGTGTTTTGTTACACTACAGAGGCAGGGACTCAGGACAACACTGGGAGGTGATTGTGGTTTTATTTTTTTTCCCCTGCCCATTTGCAATCCTACTATACAATGTGGATACGTAGTTAAAAGTATGATAAGCAGAGTTGAACGCACTTTACTGCCAAAGTAAAGTGATCATTCTCATTGATTTATTTTCAGCGAAAGTAAGTTTCCTTAAAAATTCACAAGGAATTATAAGAACAGGGCTTGTTTATATGCAGTTATACTGTTTAAGCAGAAATTAATTTCATATTATCTTATATATTAATACTAAAAATGTGCTAATTCTTAAAGTTAGGAATTTGCACTGGGTTTTATATTCTGCACAGATGGACCATTTTCCTCTGAAGAGGAATCAGTCAACATCAAAGGAACACAGCCAACAATATATTGTGAGATATATTTCAACTCCCAATTTGTTCAGCATGCTGGAAGAGTTATTTAAAAATCATTAAACAAATATGCATTAATACAAAACAGATAAGTTGTTCTCCATACTTAAAGCAAGTCCCTCACTTTAGACGTTATCTCAAGGCAGATTAATTCTTGAGAAGATGGAATTCATACAATACCTTTCACAAAAGACAATAAGCTTTTTAATTTGCAAATAATCTGCATAGACATTAAGGAGCAACTTTTGACTTATCAAGGAAGATTCACTTTGCACTGCTCTTTACAAGTATGGAAACCATGCTCCTGCTTTATGAACAAATATAAACACACTGCAGGTTTATCATTCTCCAATCGTGTCAGACAGCATAGTTGATAAATATCTGCAAAGGTAACGCAGTAATAGAATTGATGTAACAAATAACCAACAACAACTTTGTTGACTTTTTAGAACTCTAAAATGCATATTTTTTTTTCCTTAGATTGCCTTAAACTGTGGGGCTTCCATTGACATCGGAAAGACTTACCTCTCCACGTTTAGGGTCAGCTAAACGAACAAGAGATGCTTACTAAAAAAAGCCAAAAGCTCACTTAACCTTTTTGTAGGTATCAATGGTTGAAACCATGGCACAGATCTTCTCTAAAAACCATGACTTGTACAGAAGTTGAAGATACTGTGTCACATCACATTGACAAGACATGAAAGATCAGAAGTATATGAACACAACATGATACCAGAGTAGAACTGCAGTACCAACACAACAGCTGAAACTCGCAATTTTTTCATCACATAGAATGTGAACTTCCGATTCAGATACTTGTGCCTAAGAAGCCTGGCAAAAGGTAAGGAAAGTCTGCTCTAAACTCAAAGTTTCTGGATTGGCATGGTATTTCCAGACTTTCTGAAATCCATAAGCAGACTCAAAATTTTCTTTTTGAAAGCAGAGAACAAAATTGCCAGCACTCCAACAAGCAGCTGAGAAGGCCTGACTGGCTGCGGCTGTGGTTACACACTGAACAGCCACAGTGCCCAAATAGCTCTCTTGCTATCATTTCATTCCCACCTCTGCCATGCTAGCCACAACATTCGTGAACTTGTTCTAACAGAGTTTATAGCCAGATCAGTACCTCCACCCAGTTCACCGCACAGCAACAGGCAATCCTGCCAACCTGAAGTGCTAGCACGATGGTTGGAAAGAAGCCAAAGCATGAGAGACACTAAAAAAAAAAAAGTCAGTCGAATCACAGTCAAAGCTCAAGGAACTTAAAAAAACCCTTATCCTCACCACAGGTAGACAGCTAACACTGACTATTGAGGTAATGGAACACTGTCAGCAAGATGACATTCATGAGAAGCACTGCTTCAAATTTAGACAACTCATATTTTTCACTGGTTTTCATCAGAGAAAATTCTGCCATTTCTGGGGAAAAAAAGAACCACTACTGGCAGGGGCACACATGTGACCAATAAGTCATGAAATGCCCACCTCTACTAGCAAACCATCATAGTAACCTAAACACCTCTCAATTCAGAGTTGGCAATTAACGTGCATATTCCAAACCAGCTGCAAGTTTCATGAACACCACCACCTCATTAATTCAGCTTTTGTAGAAGTCAAATTAGATGTCACTCTAATTCTTTACCAACAGTAATAATTTCTCAACTCTGAGCATTCTCTATCCTTCGTCAAAAAACCCACAAGGATTTTCAGAACTTCAGACTCATTCGCCAAAGTCTAATGGAGAAGGCAGAAATAAACCTTTTTCTTCAATTCAGTATTCTGATAAGTTGTGTACAAGTGCCTTGTACATCTCAACTATACTTTTAAAATAATAGAGATAGTGAAAAAACCTACAGAACTTGCTAGCTTTTGGTTTTCCAGTGAACATGCAACAAATCCAAGCTCACTGACAAGCAAGCATGCTCCCTGCAAAACCAAAGCTCAGCGTAGCAGTAGAGAGTTTTTGTAATATCAAATTTTCTTAGCTTAAAGACAATTAAAAATTGGCGACCACAGGCTAGAATACTGGATTTTAAGTAGTTCTACCAGCAGCTAGAACAACCTGATAACATACAAAAAAATAACAAAAACCCCCTTACTTAAATTCTATCAAGTTGCAGTCTATAAGTTCTAGCAAAACTGACAGTAGTGGCACAACATACTAAAATTCTAATGCATTTAACCTAGATTAGAAAGTTTTTTGTTTTAATTTTAAAGAGAGAAGTCTGCTATTGCCTGACAGGTGTCACAAATGCTAACAGCTAGTTGACTTCCTGATCACAACTCACAAATTATTTTCTACATTAGCTATCACTTTAGATACTAAAACCACAACAAAGTCTAAATAGCCTTCTTGCATTCAATTCAATTCTTAAAATGCTTTAACTACAGATAGTTTCAGATTTGATCTGTATCAAGCTTCAAGTTGGAGTACAGCAATAATAAACATCACATTGAGAATATTAAGTACTAAACCACATTAGTATCACTGAAATGCGCCCCCCGCATGATCAGAACGTTCAACTAGTACCTCTATCTTTTCAAACGCGTGCTCATCAGACAAGTGAACTTCTCAGTTTAACATTCCAGCCAGAACAGAGCACTTCCAACAGCACATTGTATAATACTGCTGATTCAGTACTGACTGAATAAAAACAAAACAAAACCACTCCACCAAAGACCTTCTACTGAAATCACCACTACCTTTTCTAGCTGCTACCATGCTTTCTCAGCTTCCATCTGGCTTCCAACCTCCAGCTTCTAAGCAGTTTTAATGATAGGTAGCTTATAATCTGACGGACCAGAATTAGATTGTTACATACCTAGAAAGATTTCCAGTGAGAAAAAAAAAAAGATTGTTGAACAGTTAATGTGCCACTTCATAAGATCACAAAATTATTTATCAAAATTCAAAATTCTATCATTAAAAATAAGATACTTGCCACCTACTGAGCTGTGAAACCAGCTATTACCAGACACTGACGTTTCTGAATAAGCGTATCATCTTCAAGCTATTTAAGATAGAGTTACAGGCCAAACAACTTGAGGATGCTTGTAGGAAAATTACTGATAACATTGCTCCTGCTCACCCCAAAGTTTTTGTTCAGTCTTCTGCTCTGTTCTCTCAACTTGTAACTTGCTCAAAAAAAAGTGCACATCAGGAAAATTCTACCTTACTTCATACCTAAAAGATGAGAGTACAAGACAGGTATCCTATTTATGAAACTGGCTACGATCACAAGAGCCTAAGCCAACTGTACTTCAAACTGCACTGCTTCAGTAACATGCACTGCACATAAGGACAAAACAGACACCTAGGCAAAACTTATCCTGCCATGCCAAAATGCGTCATGAATTGACTTTTTTTCTGTTCTAGTACCTACAAAGGTCTGTAACATACAGTCCTACCTAACAAAAACGGTGCT